CCCCCGCGCCCCGCAGCCCCGCGCCCCGTGCCCTCCCTCTTCGCCCACCCCAGGACCGCTCGCCCCTCCCCTCCCGCCCCCACTCCTCCGCACCAAGCTCAAACCCCGCCGACCCCGGGCCGGGTCCCCCTGCCCCCGCGCCCCGCCCCGCTGTCGGGAGTCCCGCCCGGATCCCAATCCCAGACCTGGGAGCCCCACCCAGCTCTGGGGGGGGGGGAGCGGGGGCTTTGGGTCGTGCCCTGGCTCAGGGGAGGGCGGATTCCCCTCTTCCTCCTCCCCCTCCCCTTCCCCTTCCTCCTCCTCCTTCCCTTACTCCTCTCCTTCCAGCCCCGACCGCAGGGGTGCGCACCTGCAGAGCCGGGGCACACCCACGCCTGCGGGGCTGCACACGCGCACAAGGACAACGCACACACATGGGGGCACGGGGCACACACAGATGGACAGCACAGAGCACACAGCGGGGCACAGTGCACACACACAGATGGACAGCACAGAGCACACTCACAGCGGGGCACAGTGCACACACACAGATGGACAGCACAGAGCACACTCGGGGCACAGTGCACACACACAGATGGACAGCACAGAGCACACTCACAGCGGGGCACAGTGCACACACACAGATGGACAGCACAGAGCACACTCAGCGGGGCACAGTGCACACACGGATGGACAGCACACAGCACACTCACAGCGGGGCACAGTGCACACACACAGATGGACAGCACAGAGCACACTCACAGCGGGGCACAGTGCACACACAGATGGACAGCACAGAGCACACTCACAGCGGGGCACAGTGCACACACAGCACACAGGGGACATGGCACACCACATGGGGGAAAGCACAAAGACAGCACACACGGGTCACGGCGCACACACGGGTACAGTGCACACACAGGGACAGCACACACACAGGGACAGCACACACACAGGGACAGTGCACACACGGGGACAGCGCACACACGGGGACAGCGCACACACGGGGCACGGCGCACACACGGGGGACAGTGCACACACGGGGCACGGTGCACACAGGACAGTACACACACGTCACACACAACAGGACGCAGCACACACACAGGACAGTGCACACACAGCACACAAACAGGGAGACCACACACAGGGCATACACAGCACACACACAGGGAGACTGCACACACAGGGCACACATAACAGCACACATGGCAGGTGCTCAGTGCACACACAGGGAGATTGCACACACAGGGCACACACAGCAGGATACATAGCAGGTACATGGTGCACACACATAGGACAGTGCACACACAGCACACACACAGGGAGACTGCACACACAGCGCACACATGGGGACACAGCGGGACACCCACCGCACTCCACACTGGTGGAGACCCGCGTGGCGGCCACCGCCGGGTGTGGAGCCCTGGCCCCTCGCTGGTGGGTGGGCAGGGACTTCCACTGCCTCTGGGGAGCGGCTGAGGGAGAGGGCACTGGAGCTGTGGCCCTGGCTAGCCTTTGTCTACCCTCAGGCCTGGGTGTCCCCGGCCGCCGTGGTCCAGTTCAGTCCAGGGGCTGGAAGGGCCCCGATGCTGTTCTTGTGGGAGCACTGGCCAGGGCCAGCCCGAGGACTCAAGCTCAGTCAGAAGGGAGCTCACCTCCCTGCTGTCTGGGGAAGTATGCAAGCCCTTGAGCCTGTGAGCAACACCCAGCCCTGCCTCAGTTTCCCAGGGGTGGGGCTGCCCCAAACCCAGGATTCCTTCCAGACTCCATTGTCCTGGTGCTGGCATCAGCCCCCTGGGATCTGATTCCAAGGTAGCTGTGACTTGATGGGCCCGAGGGGGCGGGGCGGGGAGGCTGTGAATTAGAGCGCAGGTGCCCGCCACCGCCCGAGGGAAGTGAGCCAGCTGAGCCACATGCTTGCCTGGCTGCCTCCTCCCTCCCGAGACAAACACGGGCGGCAGGGAACCCCTCTGGTGGGACCCGCCCCCCGGGGAAGCCCCCGGGAGTGTGGAGTGTGCGCACGAGGTGCTGGCTTGAGTGTGGTTGTGTGCAGCCAAGCGCAGTGGGTGTGTGGGGTGTGTGCGGCGTGTGTGTGCATGTCAGTGCACCCCCCACCCCCAATCCCCCCTCCCGGATCCAGACCACCCCGTGGGGAAAAGAGGGGCCTGGTGTCAGAGCCAAGACTACTGGCTGAGGGCGGCAGCCAGCCCCTGCTCTGGGCTGATTCCCCTCTTCTCTCCGCAGATTTTCCGCCGAGCAGATAAAAACGGTGAGTCCCCCCCCCCCGCTGTCCATCTCCTCCCCCGGCTGTCCCCCCCCCCCCCGCCAGCCCTGACCCTCATGTTGGGGAAGCGTCAGGCAGGGAAGGGGATGCAGGCAGCTTCCAGCTGCAGGCTGAGCCCTGGCTCTGCTCCCTATCTGACAGCCCGGGAATAACTCCTGCTTTTGGGAAAAGCCAAGACACTGTGTGCAACGGACACTCTTTTGGGGGGGGGGGTTCGTGGGCCTGAACTCTGGGCCTGGGTGCTGTCCCTCAGCTCTTCAGCTCAAGGCTAGCGCTCTACCACTTGAGCCACAGCGCCACTTCTGGCTTTTTTTCTTTTTGCTTATGTGGTGCTGAGGAATCAAACCCAGGGCCTCAGGCATGCAAGGCAAGTGCTCTACCACTGAGCCACCTTCCCAGCCCCCAACAGTGGACACTCTTAAAGAGAGTTGGGGAACACTGCATTCATTTAGCCAGACAGTGCAGCCTGGGCGGGGGACAGGTTAGGAAATGGGGTGTCATCTGCCCCCCAAATCCTGCCTTCCCCGTCTTTGTGGGCTTGAGTTCAAGAGGGCTGCCCTGGCCCGGTTACGCAGCGTGGTCAGCACCATGGGCAGTGGTGGACAGAGGAGCAGCGGCCTCCGTGGGGGCCGAGAGGCCACGGGCCCTGGAAGCTGCCCCTGGGGATAGAGATGAGCAAGATACAGCAAGGGGGACCCACCCCACGCTCAGGGAGGACCCCCTCACCCCACCCGACCCCCACCCCACGCTCAGGGAGGACCCC